TTTGTCTGAGAATGTCTTAATTTCATTTTCATTTTTGAAGAAAAATTTACTAGATCTAGAATTCTTGGCTGACAGGCCTTTCCACACTTTGATGATGCCATCCGCTATCTTACGGTTTTCATGGTTTCCAACAAGAGTCAGAAAATCCCTTTTGCATGATGAGTTGTCTTTGTCTTGATGCTTTCAAAATTCTCTCTATGGCAATTCTCAGTTTGGTGTGGTGTGTATAGGGATCCTTCTGTTGCATTATATCCATTTAAAAACCAATGTATTTCTTGAATGTGGAGATTAATATTTTTCATCAAGTTCGGGAAGTTTTGAGCCATTTTTCTTCTTATTATTTTGTGCTTTTTCCTTTTTTGGACTCCCATTTGATGATGTCTTATATGCCTGTAAGGCTCTTTCCATTTTTTTTTTTTCCTATTTCTCAGACCTGATAACCTTTGTCGATCTTCAAGTTTGTTGGTTATTTATTTCACCAGTTCAGATATGTTGCTGAAATTTATTATTATTATTATTTATTTCAGTTATTTAATTCTAGAATTTCTTTGTGAATATTTTTTCTTTTATAATTTCTCTCTGTATATTGATATCCTGTATTTGATGAGACATAGCTGTCATGCTTTTCTTAAACTCTTTAATCAGTTTTCTTTGTTTCTTTGAACATATTTATAATACCTGAGTCTTTGTCTACAAAGTCCAACATCTTCTAAGCCCCCTCAGATCCATACATGTTTTTTCACCATGCATGGAACATATATTCTTATTTCTTTGCATGACTTATTTTTGTTGTTGTTGAAAACTGGACATTTTACATAATATGTTCTGTCAAGTCTGGTGTCAGATACTGTCTCTTCCTCAAATTTGCTGTTGTTGGTGTTGTTTTTGTTAGTTTTTCTACTTGCTGTTTATTTAGTAACTTTTCTGGATAAATTCTGTAGATGTTATATTCCCTCCTTGTGTGCACATTGAGTTATCCGTTTATTTATTTATTTATTTATTAAAGATTGGGTTCCTATGGCTCATCCAAGATTAGTATATCTTAATGAGCAGACAGTGATCAGTAATAATATTTTCTTAAATGACTTGCCAGTATTTCTTCTATATTTTTCTAAAGAGATTTGTGAGTGGAGGTATATCTTTAAACTTTAGTCAGTTTATAAGACTGCCTTCTCTTTTACTCTCTGCTTGGTAAGACCTCAAAATCAGTCAGAGAACAATTGTAGGATCCTTATCCTCTGTTGGCTTAGTGCCTAAGGCATGTGACTGCTAACCAGAAGGCTGGTGGTTCAAACCCACCAGCCACTCCTCAGAAGGAAGGTTGGGCAATCTACTTCTGTAGTGATAACACCTCAGAAACCCAAGGAGGGGTCGTTATGAGTGGGATCCGACTCGATGGCAGTGTGTTTGGTTTGGTTTTTTGGTATGCTTTCCTAAGAAGCTCTGGTAGAATAGTAGGTAAGACATTTGGCTGCTAAGCAGGTCAGCAGTTCAAACCCACCAGCTGCTGTGAGGGAGGAAGATGAGGCAATCTACTTCTGTAAAGATTTGCAGTCTTAGAAACCCCATGGTGGTCACTATGAGTCAGAATTGATTTGATGGCAGTGGGTATTCTCTCCTAAGGAGCTCTGGTGATGCAGAGGTTAACACATTTGATTACTAACTAAAAGGTAAGTGGTGTGAACCCACCAGCTGTTCCATGGAAGAAAAATGAGCCAGTCTCCTTCTGTAAAGATTTACAGCCTTGGAAATCTGATGGGGGTCGCTATGAATCAAAATCAACTCAATGGCAGTGAGTTTGGTTTGGTTTTAGTTATCATCTCCTGGTCTTCCCTGGGTATGCATACAGCACTGTATGTACATGTAGACCTCTAGATTCCCAGGAAAATGTCAGAGCTTTTCAAAGTTCCCTGTGGTCATCTAGTTTTTGAGGTCTTCTTTTTAAATTTTTAGCCAGGTTCTTATTGCCCCAACAGAAATCATAGCCTTAGGCAGCTGTGATGTTACCAGCAGATTGCTATTGTTTTGGGTAATGAACTGAAATCTGTGCCCATTCAAATAGCCTTAATGCCTTGGAATGGAGATTTTGCAGGGAGTTGCTCTTGTTGTCTTTAGGTGCTATCAAGTCACCTCCAACTCATAATGACCCATGTACAACATAATGAAACACTGCTTAATCCTGCACCATACACAGTTGTTGCTATGTTTGAGCCTATTGTTATAGCCACTGTGTCAATCCATCTCATTGAAATTATTCCTCTTTTTCATTGACCCTCTACTTTACTAAGCATGACGTCCTTCTCCAAGGACTGGTCTCTCTTGGTAACATGTCCAAAGTAAGTGAGACAGAGTACTAAGGAGCTTTCTGGCTGTGTTTCTTCCAAGACAGATTGCTTTGTTCTTCTGGCAGTCCACAGTGCATTCAGTGTTCTTCACCAACACCGTAATTCAAATTTATCAATTTTTCTTCAATCTTCCTTATTCATTGTCCACCTTTCACATATGTATGAGGCAATTGAAAATACCATAGATTTGGATCAGAAGCATCTTAATCCTCAAAGTGATATCTTTGTTTTTTTCTAACACTTTAAAGATGTCATTAAAAATCTTCAAGTGCTGGCAAAATATTGACTGTGCTCTGGGGATGGGGCTTTTCATGGAGTTCTAGAAGTGGTTATTCCTTCTTATTGGTTGTGAAACTGTTAGAATTTCACACCTACTCCATCACAGAGCAGAAGGTCTTTGGGTGGGAATAAACAAATGCCACACTCTGCCATCAAGTCGGATCCAACTCATAGTGACCCCTCCTTGGCTTTCCAAGGCAGTGTCATTACAGAAGTAGATTGCCCAACATTCCTTCTAAGTAGTGGCTGGTGGGTTTGAACCACCAGCCTTCCGGTTAGCAGTCAAGTGCCTTAGGCACTATGCCGAATAGTCCTAAGTTAAAATGCCACAGGTTCTACTTTCTTACCACAATTCATTAATTTATAGGGGATAGAGGATTTTAAGTTCATTCTTTGGCTTTAATTTCTAGAATTCTGAAATAGTTTATTTAATATTTTTTGCTAGTATTTTCAACGTTTTTATTGGAAAGTGGTCTCACTAAGAATTTTATTTCCTTGTTCTGGAAGCTATTTCCTGAACATTTGGGGTTTTGGAACAATTTGCTATTCATGAGTTCATACCTCAATATGTGTTGGGTTTCTGAGGCAGCAAGCATCACTACAGAAGTAGGTTGCCCAACCTTCCTTCCAAAGAGTGGCTGGTGGGTTTGAACCACCAGCCTTCTGGTTAGCAGTCAGATTCCTTAAGCACTGTACCACCAGAGTTCCCTTGGTTTTCTTCACGTATATTATTAAAGAACCAAGCTGACTTTCAAGAGCTATTCCATGCTTCTTATCCTGGGTAGAAGTGCTCATGCAAGCGCTGCATATCAGAGCAATGTTTGAATTGATAGGCTTTAGAATATGTAGTTGGGAAGTCCTCATTCAAGTTATTTCTACCATCTCCTTATTGCTGAGGAGCCCCCTACTCTGAGATCCCAGTCCCATTCTGGAATCTCTATTCCTTCCAGGCATTTTCCTCAGGTTTCTACAGATATTTCTATGGCTTTAACTGGAGGAAAAACTTTTCTTCTATTCACTTTCTAATAGGGTCTCAGCAGTTATGAAAAAGGTAAGAAAGACCCATAAACAGCTGCACAAAGAGTTTATCAACATATTCCACGATGTTCTGACTCTTCTTATTCTGCCAGTACTAGTGTGATTCTACCTCAAAATATGGCTTTTGCCTCTCCCACTTTCTATTGTGGTCAGTTCTAATTATCAGTTACGATTGGAATTTTTTGTGACCTAGTTGTAAACTTGGATGATTCATCTAAGTTATTTGGTGAAATGGAAAGTGAATGAACTTTAGAGTCATACTGAGCAGGTCATTTTGTGGTTCTTCCACTTACTTTTTTCCTCCCATAATAAGTTATCTGCTCTCTCTGAGCCCTACTTTTCTTGTCTGTGAATTAATATGACATTTCTTACTTTTAGGTTTATTGGAAGAACTAAGATCAGCTATGTAAGATCTCTTGCCACTGTGCTTTCCATATTGGAAATTGGTTTGTTCTCCTTTACCTCCATCTTTGCTCCCCTTTTCCTCTCTTTTATTTATGGTACTTCACTCTCTCCCTCTCAGCTCCTTGTTCCTATAACCTTGCCAGTGGGCTTTCATTTTCTCTTCTTAATAACAGGGAGAAGGTACTTTCCTTCCTCTCAGAGTTGTGATGAGGCTGAAAGGATACTATTGTGTAAACTATAAAATTCCAATCAAATATAAAGCAATGCTATTATTAATGGTAGTATTAACAATAGTGAACCATGCCATTATTTCATAAGTCACAATAATGTATCTATGTTTCACCATCTGTGATGGATTTGTTATGTACCTCTTTAAAGTCTAAATTTCTGTTTACCCCTGGTTGGGTCTATATACAGCAGTGAGTGAATGGATGTGTTATATTCATTGTATTATGAACATTTGTGAAACTGGTAATGCTTCTGAATTGGTGACCAGACTTAGTGGAAGCAAAACAATTGCATTGGTAAATAACTTGTAACAGAATGTAGTCAGAGTTGTGTAAATGGAAAGCAGCTGTTATCTTTTGGTGTATGTTCTCTTGCTGATGGCTATGAGGTGAAGGGCAACGAAACATGTGGCTTTGTGAAGATTGATTCTCCACAAGCCTTCTCCACTGAGAGCCACTGTACATGGATGCACTGAGCTTTGATATATCTCCCAGAAGGTGGTGGATATATACACTGTTTCTTAAAATGCTGTGGGCTTACATTGTCATCTAGAGTAACAAGCAGTAAATTCCTCACATTGACCAAGGTTCTGGTGTCCTGTATTTCCTGCTTTGCCCCTTTATTTTAGGGTACTTTCTAAGTGGTTCTTTCTGCCAAAGGAGAGATTGGGAAAGTCACTCAGAACAACTTATGATTCAATTGTAGGCCAGCCCTTTGTAAATCCCGATGGAACTCCTGCAATATACAACCCACCCAGCAGTCAGCAGCCCCTGCGGAGCACGATAGTGGGGCAATCCCAGCAGCAACCACAACAGCAGCCCTCTCCTCAGCCTCAGCAGCAGGTCCAGCCATCACAGCCGCAGATGACAGGCCCACTGGTCACTCAGGTAAGTAGCCATTTGGAAGGTAGGGAGAGAAAATGCCCAGCGATGAAGGCTGTGTGCTCTTCCAAGCATCAGTGCATCAGGGAGAGGGTAAATTTTCCATAGATGTCATCTTCATCCACTCGAGCTTCATAAATGAATAATGGTTTGCTATTTGACAGGATTTCATCTGAATCTTTAAGTTCAGATAAGCGATCTGTTCCCATTCATTGACTTGCACTGAAAGGGAATGGTACTAAGGAGAATGAGAAAGGGAATGGTACTAAGGAGAATGAATGACTAGCATTTTCTTAGGTCTGAATGTTATTTTTAAGATATCCAGAAGCCTTTGTCTTTGAGGCTAAGCTCAGAATCCCATCCAAGCTTTTGCATCCTCTTGTTGACCCATTCCCATTATAGACTAAGGGCTCATGTTCTCAGGTCAGAATGAAACTCTCTATCAATGAGAAGAGCAAAAATCAGTTAATTCCTAGCCTAACCTGGCTGTCCACACATCCTTTAGAGAAACACAGATCCGCCTTCTTTCCTGTATTGTTGTTGTTGTTAGTTGCTGTCAAGTCTGTTCTGACTTCTGCCAACCCCATGTGTACAGAACAGAATTGCTCCAAAGAGTTTTCAAAAGCGAGATCTTTCCAAAACAGTTTGCCAAGCCTGTCTCCTGTGGACCTTCTGGGTGGGTTCCAGCCATTGAACTTTTCCTGGATTACACATAGAAAAAGTTGGTAGAAACCTGATGTGTCCCAAGTAGGCCACCAGAGTGAACCTCTTATTTGTTTATTTTTTCTTAATTCTTAGTCTCTACATGATATTTTTATAGAGAATCTCTATCTACCATGACTAACATTAAAAGTATGGCACTATCTTCTTCTTTTTTAAAATCGTGGTAATATCTATGGAACAAAACATTTGCCATGCCTATTCCTTACATGTATAATTCAGTGACATTAATTACATTCATCATGTTATTCAACCATCACCACTATCTTGAGTAGGAGGAGGGGCCAATTTGTGTTCACTCTGCAGAAATGAACTTCCTTCAAGGCTGTCTGGCTCTGGTCCATCAGACCTTGACTTTTAGTTAGTAGCTGGTGCTTCTCTCTGGAATGTACTAAACCAAGAGAACCTATAAGGGACAGTGTTGAGCTTCAAATACCACAGCCTTCCTGTGAGATTCAACAATGCTTTCCTGTTACCTGATTGGCTTTTTCTCTCCTCTAGTCTGTCCAGGGGCTGCAGGCTTCCTCACAATCAGTGCAATATCCAGCAGTCTCTTTTCCTCCCCAGCATCTTCTGCCTGTGTCTCCAACGCAGCACTTCCCCGTGGTACTGTATTATATGTGTATGACTTGTGTCTGGGAGAGCATTTACTACTTTTCTGTGCAGGACTGGCTGCTGCTGGGTGGGTGTGCTGTGCGACTGTGATGGTGGTGTGTGTAAATGTCTCATTCCTGAACATCGCGGCCCATCTCTGCCAAGTGATGGTTTCCTTTCTATCATTTGACCTGTGTTTAGTGCTCCTGCAGTTTACCAGTTACACAGGAATTCAATGCTCTCTGAGTTAGAAGTCAGGAACAGAGTGATATAGGAACTTGGTGTAAGGGTTTGGGAAATATTGTGAAGTCTGTTGTGCATTGTGCTCCCAATGCAGGTATTCTCCCTTGCATCCTAGAGCCCCAATTTTCTTTCATTTTCTCCTCAATGTACTAAGTCCTTTTGTGTCATAGCTCAAAGACTGAGTCAAGATCCTCAATTTCAGGCCAGATCAGTGAACAAACACTCTCTAATACAGGAAATGAAATCCCACCCTACCTGTCTGGCTCCATCATTCTCTGCAGCACTAGTGTGTGGCAATGAATAAGGGTGCCCCAAAGGCACACCCTGAACTTGCTACTGGGCAGACCTCTAGTTGTGCAGCACCATTCTGAGGAACTTGAGCCCTCAATGAAAAGCAATACCTTTGCTTCCAATGCAAGTGGGAGATCTGGGTCTAATTCCTTTCCATATCTGACCCTCAGGATGATTTCAAACTCAGTTTCTCTTGTTATGTTCTGGCCTGAGAATTCCTTTTCTGTTTTCTTTTCTTTTTATTTTGCTTTTCCAAGGTGTACTTTTCCTTTCTTCCATAACTACAAGCCTGTGGCCTGTGTCTACCTGAGTGAGCCCCTTGCGTTACTACAATCGTGGTGATTTTCTTGCTTGTTTCTGTGACTTGCAGAGAGAAGATGTGGCAACACAGTTCAGCCAAATCAACCTGAGCCGGCAATCCTCAGGAGAAACCCCTGAGCCCCCATCAGGTCCCGTCTACCCATCGTCCCTCATACCGCAGCCAGCCCAACAGCCAAGCTATGTCATCGCCTCCACAGGCCAGCAGCTTCCTCCAGGGGCCTTTTCAGGCTCTGGACCACCCATCTCCCAACAAGTCCTCCAGCCCCCTCCCCCACCACAGGGATTTGTGCAACAGCCTCCACCTGCACAGGTAGGTGTGCTTTTTCCCACACCTGGGATTCACAGCTTATCTGTGGGGCACTTTGACTTCTGTTTTCACAGGTCAGCTTGCAATGCCCTTCTGCCAATACTGATAGTCTTCAGGAACAAGACCTGGTCTGTGTTTCTGTTCATCTAAGTATGCAAAGTCATGGGGTTCAGAAAGTAAGTTTAATGAAAGTGACCCAACTGTCCATGATTCTAGGAGGAAATACCACATTTTCCAGGCTGCTGATGCAGAGGCCATAGGGAAGCATTGCCTCCTGTATGATGTCCTGCTTACTGGATTGACTAGGAATGTCCTTGGGGAAGGAGTAGTCCTGCACCTGGGGGACTTTTGACATTCTCTTGCTGCTGCTAGTGAAATGTACTCTTTGCTTTTTCTATCAATTCATAAGCATTTTCTGGAGTTAATCCAGTGCTCCAGGCAGGAGCCCCACTATGAATATAAAGGAGGAAGGTAAGCTGATACCCAGTGTCTCTCCTCTCCCTGGGGAGAAGCAGAGCTCACTTGTGCTCTCACGGGTAGCCATTAATCATATTTAATTGACTTGAGCATGTAAGACACCACAGATCACTGATTTTTACTGTCTTCTCAAAGGCTGATTATGTGTTACTGTTCACCACCAAACATCTCTGGTGCTCTCCTGGGGATCCCTTGCAGAATATTGGAAGTGATTACTGTCAAGATGCAAAATGCGCAGAGGCATTTTCTGGTCTATTTTCAAGGCACATACATCCCAAGCAAATCCCATCCTAATTATGAAGTTTTGTATTGGGTGAGCTCCTTAAAGTGCAATGTCACCTTTCTGTCATTGCTTTCACTGTGGTAACATCCTGAATAAATTGTTTGCTTTTTCAAGCCCCACAAAAACCATAAAATGATTTTCACTGTTGCTCATTTTAATTTGAGTGACTAATTAATTAACAGTTCAACTTCAGTGGCCTCCTCTGCAATATGTCTTTGCAGGTAGGACTTTTAGGAGAGGTGAAAAATAATTTTCGGTCACAGGAGAAAGGGCTTTAGCAATGTGTTAGTTGTTTTGTTCATAAATCAAGTACTTCAGGTTTCATTATAAGGATAAAATAGTTTAGCTTGTGTAGCTTAAGTAGCATCTAGGTGTTCTTATCCATTTCTATTGTCAAAAAGAAGAGCTGGCAGAATATTTAATTGAAGACTTTAAAAGGAAAGTCCTTCCCTGATGAAAGAATTTCAGTATTAGTTCACTGCAGGAACAACAATTCAAAACCCTGTGTCAGAAATACGTTCATTTCTTCTTCAATAAATTTGCAAACAGAAAGGGGGACAAAAGAAATGTTCATGGTTCATGATCAGTCTGAACATCTCTTTTTTAAGGAATGACCAAAAAAGGAATATATAACCCATAATGATTTTCAATTAGGAGCTCTAGTAGCATAGGGCCTAAGGCAAACCAGAAGGCTGGCGGTTCAAACCCACCAGCCACTCCTCGGAAGGAAGGTTGGGCAATCCTACTTCTGTAGTGATACTGCCTCGGAAACTCAAGAAGGGGTCGCTATGAGTTGGGGCCGACTCGATGGCACATAACAACAACAACAACAATGACTTTCAATTAGTAAACATTTAAAACCTGGTTACTCTATTAATTGAACAATGAAAAGAGCTCAGTTGAGATTAAGCCCATGAACACATTAGAAAGATGTTAAATATATGCAGAAATGAACCTGTTTAAAAACTTTGAAGGTCAGTTTTGTCTGGCTTTTTATGTGTGCATTCTGAATTCCCATTGGAAGGGCGAAACAGGAAAAAACCTGGACAACGCAAAGAAGGACTTGGAAAAGGGAGGTGAGGAAAGTGCTCACTTTTTAACTTTCTTCTTTCTCTTCTTTCTTTCTTTCATCTCCTAATCCACTCATTATTTATATTCTCCATATTTTAACATTATTGTTGTTGCTTTTAGCTGCCATCAAGTTGGCTCCCTATTCCTGGCAACACATGCACAATGGAACAAAACACTGCCTGTTCCTGCACCACCCCATGATCAGTTGATAATTGGATCGTGATCCATAGAGTTTACATTGACTGCTTTTCTGAAGTAGGTCACCAGGCCTTTCCTGCTAGGCTCCCTTAGTTTGGAAACTCTATTGAAACCTGTTCAGCATCATAGCAACACTCAAATTTCTGTCACAGTCAGTTATGTAAAGTATGTATATTTCCTCCCCTTTGGTGTCCTTCACCCTCCTCACTTCTCCCTTGCCTTCTAACCTTTCATATTAATTCTTTAAAAATTCCCTCTTAGTTCAGCTCCCACCCTCTGTGAGTAGGATGAAGGTGAATGTATTTGTTATCTGGTGCTGCTAGAATAGATTTACCACAAATAGATGGCTTTAGCACACAGAAGTTTGGGAGTTTAGGAGGTTCTCACAGTTAGGAGGCTAGATGTCTGAATTCTGGGTGCCACCTCTAGGGGAAGGCTTTCTCTCTCTGTTGACTCTAGGGGAAGATCCTTATCTCTTTTCAACATCTGTCATTTGGCATGTTTTAGAGATCTACATGTGTCTTGGCATTAATCTTCCCCTGGCTGTAGGAGGTTCTCAGCACAGGGACCCCAGGCCCAAAGGATGTGCTCTGCTCCCAGCTCTTCTTTCTTAGTAGTTCGGAGGTCCTTCTGATCTCTGCTAGATTGTTTATTTTATATCTCAAAAGAGATTGACTCCAAATACAACTTAGTCCTGTAGATTTTATTCTGCTTCCTTAACATAATTGTCTCTAATCCTGACACATTAACACCACAGAGGTTAGGATTTACAACACATAGGATAATTATATCAGAGTACAAAATGGAAGAAGATTACATAATAATGAGAATCATGGCCTACCAAAGTTGACATATATTTGCAAATGCGGAGCACAATTCAGTCGTAACACTGAGCCAGGTGCCCATTTGTATGACATGGTTGGTGGCTAGAATTCCTAAGAGCTGGCTGAAGCTCTAGTTTGGGCTGTGGGAGAAAGTGAGTAACTGAATGAAGGTGGTTTTATTTGGGCAGACCTTTAGCACAGCTTCTAAAGTGTCAACAATTTAGGACTTGGAAAAAAAGCAAAATCAAAGCTAAAAAAAAAAAAGGAATCCTAAAAACTGAGGATCTTTAAAATTAACAATAAGGAATTGTGCTTTCTTCTAAAACATTAGTGCCCATGAGGGAAAATTTAGGTGTTTGACCTCTATTACTCACTCTGAAGATATTTTCATATTTCATATATTGAATATAAGAGGAGAGTCGACATTGAGATAACAGGTTCATGGCCTAACATTTCTTTCCTAAGGAATAAAATGGGATTATTCCTTAAAAGCATGTAAATAGAATGCTGATGGTAAATTAATTACCAGAGCTCCCGAATTCAATAATAGTTTTTCCTATTCTTATTATTAGGAAGCACCTGATGTATAATAGTACATTGTTATATGGGTGTTATAGAATTTACTTTTTTTTCCTCAAAATGAAGACATTTTCTTATTTGCTAAGACATCTATATCCTATCCAAAAGGTAGCATGTTTCCTAGTTTTGAATATGTGTGGGCATTTTTCAGGGAACACATTTAATGTTCTTTTATGTCTTCTTGTGAGCCTCACAGCATTTTTTTTTTTTAAATAAGAGCCAAGCATGAGTTTGAGTAGAGTATTCCACCTCAAAGTGTTGTATTATGTTTTTAAAATGAGTTTCCTTCCTCTACCTGCAAATAAATCTCACACAAAATGGTGCTTTTTGGCTTTGGACAATATTGATAGCAGAGTGTGGGAGCTCTGGTGGCATAGTGCCTAAGACATTTGACTGCTAACCAGAAGCTGCCAGTTGGGCAATTTACTTCTTGTTTAGAGATCCCTCCTGGGAAACCCAAGAGGGAAGGAGTTGCTGTGAGTCAAATCGACTTGACGGCAGTGAGTTTGGTTTTGGTTTTAGATTTCTCTATGTGCGACTGTATAAGAATCCAGCCCTGCTGGTCACACCTCCTCTCTGTACAAGAAGCAGTCAATCAGCACACCAAAGAGATGTAAACACAAGACCTAACAGGGTCTTCTTCTCTCTATATTGAAATCAAGGCTTACTACCATCCAGCCATGGATTCCTAATGGACAAACACATGAGGAAGAGTCAAGAGTAGGAAGGAGGGCTAGGAAGACCAGAGCCTGTAGTGAGCAAGGAAACTCTTAGGTGACCTTTTAATAAAATGTAACCTCACCCTGCTCTCAAGTAAATGTAGCCCAACCTTTGTCATAGAATAGGAACAATTAGATAAGTAATTACTCTCTTGCACTGTGAGAAGGGTCTTGTCCCCACTGATACCCTTGGGTAGATAGGAAATCTCTCCAGATCAAGTGACATTTGGTTTGAATCACTTTGGAAATTCATATATTTCTAGTTATTGTACATGTAAGAAATGTTGAATTGATAAATGTGTTGCCTATATTCTTAGAACCACGTATATATTTTTATGTGTGTCTACGTCTTTGTGTTTATATTTATATATATGCAACTGAAGTTTTTTTTTAGATTTTTTAAAAGAGGTTACAGAAACCGTATTTTTTAATGTATCTCTCCCTTTAGAGTGAATATATATACATATATATACATATATATACATACATATGTATACATATATATGTATATATGTATATACATGTATATATATATATATGGAGCTCTGGTAGTGTAGTGCCTAAGGCACTTGACTGCTAACCAGAAGGCTGGTGGTTCAAACCCACCAGCCACTCCTCAGAAGGAAGGTTGGGCAATCTACTTCCGTAGTGATACTGCCTCAGAAACCCAAGGAGGGGTCGCTATGAGTCGGGTCCAACTCGACGGCACATAACAACAAACAACAACACACACATATATATATGTATATGTGTGTGTATATATATATATGTGTGTGTATGTGTGTGTTGTGTTGTGTAAAACTCACGGCCATCAAGTCGGGTCTGATTCATAATGATCCCTCCTTGGGTTTCCGAGGCGATATCACTATGGAAGTAGATTGCCCAGTCTTCCTTACAAGGAGTGGCTGGTGGATTTGAACCTCCAGGCTTCTAGTTAGCGGTCAAATGCCTTAGGCACCACACCACCGGAGCTTCTATATTAGGCAAGAAGTCAACATTTTTCATGTCTCACCTCAGTTCCCTTTATTAAAAACAATTCAAGTTAGATATAATATTTAAAACTACCACCAGTAAGCCCTGGTAATAGTACATAACTGTTTATTGTTATGTTTAAAATGCACAGAATTCAATGGTTTAAAGCAACCACCATTTTACTGACCAGAATCAGGTCAGAAATTCCAGCCAGACTCATCAGAGATGGCTCACCTCTGCTCCAAATGGTATTGGCTGGATACCTTGTCTGGATCTTACTCACTTACGTGCCTGGAACTTTGGTAAAGCTGTTGACTGGGCTGCCTGTGTTCTCCACATGACCTCTCTCCACAGCAGGATAGCTTGGACTTCCTTTACTTGATGGCTGACTTTCTTTCCTGCAAAAGTGGAAGCTGCAAGGCTTCTTAAGGTTTAGGCTTGAAAATCTTAGATATCCCTTCTGCCTCTTTGCATGGGTCAAAGCAGATTGCACAGCCAGCTCAGATTCAAGGGCTTGGAGACTAAGTTTCACCTTTTCACAGAGGAGTAGCATGAACATACATACAGGAAAATGGGTAATTCTGGGGCCATCTTTACAGACAATCTGTAAAATCATATTATGTTATAAGATGGCCTTATGTATTTTAGGGAACTCTGGTAGCATAGTGCCTAAGGCACTTGACTGCTAACCAGAAGGTTGGCGGTTCAAACCCACCAGCCACTCATATGAAGGAAGGTTGGGCAATCTACTTCCATAGAGATACCACCTCGGAAACCCAAGGAGGGGTCACTATGAGTCAGGTCCGACTCCAGGGCACATAACAACAACAACAATGTATTTTAATTACTTTTTAAAAAGTTACTTTATGTAGAGTTCTTAGTCCCTGCTTTTCCTCATTCTTCCACAGATGCCCGTATATTATTACCCATCTGGTCAGTACCCTACCTCAACCACACAGCAGTACAGGCCCATGGCCTCAGTTCAGTACAGTGCTCAGAGGAGTCAGCAGATACCACAGGCGGCACAACAAGCAGGTACTTGGTCTTTGTTTCTCATTTTCTCTCTAACACGGTGATTTTTGCAGGTCATTCTCTGAACTGTCCTCTTTGGGGAAGTATCCAATCTTGACAATTTAAATAATCTCATTTCCCTTACTGTAAGCAGATGACCAAATATTTGATTGTATGCAGAAAAGGAAAAGGTATAAGAAGGTGAAGCATGTCCCTTTAGCATCCCAGGCATGCATGCTAAGGACAATTCCCATAAATTTCCATTATTTTGAGATCCTTTAGGTTTATTTCAAAGTAGAAGGCCAACCACATTCCCCTACCTCTAGTTCATGCTTTTTCTTTCTAAATTTTTAAAACTTTTAACTTGAAGAGAATTCTTTCCCTGGTTTCAAGATTAGGGAGCCAGGTTAGGTTGAATCTATACCATCCTAAAAAGGACTATGTTTGAAAGAAAGCCAAGACAATGCAGCCTGTGTCTCAAAGGAACTTTGGCTGCATGGTTCACATTCACGACGGCCACAGCACAGCCTCCTGCCCAGAGCCTGGCAGCCACTGTGCAGTGGGAAGGGGGGCCGATACACTGTACGAGAGTGAGTAGCAGGTCTCACAGTGAACCGGTCTCTTTCCCTACTGTGTCACACTCCTAATGGATTGCCGTTACCCAGAGAACAGCAGAAACCCAGCAGGGGAGTGACTTGTGCTAGGGAGAAGGTTGTGTCATTCCTGCTGACCAAACTGCAGGAAAAACTGCTAATTGTCATGCTGAAGACTGCCTGACTGGGAGACTCTGCCTTCTGTAAGTAGGTCATGTAAAAGAACACATGTTTTCCACTGCACCTCATCAATGCCTGCTTCATGATCTGATTTCCGCCTAGACGTTATCTATGTACACATAGAATACGTACAGATCTATGCATGGAATATATACATGATATGCTTATTTTTAAATATATAAATTATGACCAAAAAACATAATCCCTACCAAGGATTAATATCAATAGCAAATAGCTGAAGAATACTATTGCTGCCATTGCTAGCGTTTTACCAGTCTGGAAAAAAAATTACATCCTTCTGTGTCATAGATAACTATAGGTTCTTTAGTTCATTGCATGGCCTATTTAAAGTCTGTAAGAGAAGAATTCAAGGAATGTATAACAGCCAACCAGACCATGTTTTATTTCTATAGGGTATTAGTTTTGGGCACAATATATTTTGACCTCTGAATCAGCTTTACACTTTTATGGTAATAAGCCACAAAATAATTCCAAAACATTAAGTATTTTAATTTTTGGCAAAATTTTCTACAATTAGTGGAAAATGTCATTATCTCTATATCATTTTGAAGGTACCTGTGCTATCATGATTTAGACATAAACTATGCTGATGTGTTGCCTTCATTTTTAAATGCCTTATTTCCTTCTACTAATGCTTATCAAGAAATTTACTTAGAATTTCCTAGATGTGGGACAAGAGGCTTTAATGAAGTTTTCTTTTGGTGACTAATGTCTTTAGAAGGACAAAGATTCAGATATCTAATTATAATGCTTTTGCTGTTACTTAGTTCAGTGCCTTTGTGTTACATATTTTTATAGAGAGATATTTCAGTCTTGTGTTAGAGTGTATTTCATATACAGGAATGTACTTACAGACATGCTGGAACCCACTAAACCCTGGGTCAGTGTGAGGAGCCAAAGCTGAGTAAGTCGGATGATTGAGAGGGTAACAGAGTTAGATTTACAATAAGCCTTGATTTCCCACTGACTCGAACATTGCTATTTCCCCTCTCCACTAATGTCCCTGATAGGTTTCAACAAAAGGGGGAGTGTGTGGGACTCTTTTATAAAACATTGTGAGAGCATTTATGGCCCCCTTCCATCTCAGCAAGACTCACCTGGCCTCAACTACATTTTCTGTGGCAACCTGGTGACTTAGACGTGGTCCATGCTCCCAAATAACTATGGAAATGTCAGGTGACATAATGACACTGTAATGAGGAAGAACGCATTTCAAAGTGATACTATGCTCAAAATAGAAGCAAAGGTAATGTGTCAGTATCAAGAAAGTGAATGAGAGTTAATGTGGTCTGTAGAGGTGGGTAGTGAGAAAACGAAAATGAGGAATAGGATCTTCTCTCTAATGTGATACCATTGATATACACATGCAAACACATAGTTACTTTGAGTTCATAGTTACTGTGACCACCACACCTGATCCAAAAAAAAAAAAAAAAAACCCACTCCCGTTGAGTTGGATCCGACTCATAGCAACCTCTCCTTGGGTTTCCGAGATGGTATCACTACGGAAGCACATTGCCCAATCTTCTTTCTGAGGAGTGGCTGGTGGGTTTGAACTGCCAGCCTTCTGGTTAGCAGTCAAGTGCCTTAGGCACTATGCCACCAGAGCTCCCAGTACAGTATCTGTTGCTAATAAAGTCCAGGTAACCCGGCTCACACAATAGCTCTGTAGCAGCAGGTGAAGAAGACTCCAGGAGAAGTCTTGGAGACTTCTTGGAAGATTTGGAAATCTCTGTTAGTTACTACATCTTTCCAATGCTTAAACCTATACACAGTGAATTTTTATGATGCAAATTGGATAGGACACTGGAATTATACTGAGCCCCAGTAGAGGGGCATATGTTCTTCCTTCTAAGGATTTTGTACTTTTTACCTCATCAGTGGGTTGTGAATGTGGTAAACATGTGGAATAAGAAGCCTGTGTTTGTAGTAATTATAAATAAAGGCTACCAATGTTTAGCAATTTGGAAGAAATCAAATGGTGCTTTTGCAAAGTGATGTTTAGAATATGTAGCTACGTATTTGAGGAAGAAAATAAAAGCCTTTAATATATGAATATCTCCAATAGAAAAATTGTTTATTGTCAATCAGACATTCTCAGATCACCTAACAATGGGGTATAATTGCCTTTATAAGGCTGTTGTTGATAACCCAACACTGGGTAGGAATGCAGTTATGAAGTTATAGCTGAAGCTGGAATTTAAATTATCCTGATTTAAAAAGACTTGGAGATGAGAGTGTCTTACTGAGAAAAGATTTTCTCAGTGGTCAACTATTGAAGTGAAGTACCATATTTTTATGCAAATAATGCATGCATTATACATTTTTGCATACAGTGCAGTCATCCACACATTATTTCTATAAGTGCACTGTACTATTTTTTACATATTGATTGTTTCTATTTCATTTTCTTTTTCTGTCCAGTGGATTTAATATTAATTAATAGTAAGTTTTTTTTGTTTTGGTGCCTGTTGATGAGAGGTAGATTCCCAGCATCAGACCCTCACTAGCCTACTTTTGTGTTTCTAAAGCAGCCCCTCTCCTAGCAGGATTCCTTTCCTGCTCTGCAAACCACTTTCTTCAATGCAGGAAGAAATCACTTTTCCCCACCCTAGAAACAGCCCTCTCCAAAGCACCTGGCCTCAGCCTAGCAAGGTGCAGGTCTGTGCATCATAGACTGGATAGACTGCTCACACAGTTGAGGCTGGGTTTCCACAGTTGTGCACTTTCTGCCCTGCCGTCTGGCTGCCTGATCTCCTGCCCACACATACATCATGGGGAAGGCAGGAGCGCCACAGACACGGAGTGGTTGCATATCCCTCACTTGTATGAAATGAGTCCAGCTGGCCACCTGGAGGCCCTGCCCTGGAACACTGCAAGTCCATACTATCCTGCCACCTTGTTTCACATAAAGTCAGCATCATGGGACCTGGGCATGTGCAGGCAAAAGTTCCCACCCATCGCAGGACCACTAGTGCTCAGGCTATGGCAGCCTTGCACACAGCCTCCACTCTACTGTCCACCCTTCTCTAGTATGACATACCTGGGCACAGATTGGCTACAAACTGAGATATTTATGTTCAAATCACACATTAGAAGGGGGCGGGGGAGTTGGAGAGAAAGAAAGAAAGGAAAATTATTCATCCTAAATAATGTCTTCAACTCTAAATATCCTTTTCAGTTTGTCTTTTCAAGAAATATATTTAGCTTCATTATTCTTGGCTCTTCAGTATCTTGGGCATGTCCTAAAAGCAACAAAAATGAACTTATAAAGTCTTGTATGTTTTCATAAATGGACATTTGAGAATGAATGAAATCTGATTTGGTATCAGTATATTATACTTGTAAAATGAATTGGGAAGTGTTCTCTGTTCTTCCATTTTCTGAAAGATACTGTTTAAAATTGATACTAAATCATTTTATGTATATTTGGTAGAACTCTCCAATTAAACTATCTGGATTTGGAAGTTTTCAGAAACTGTATTAAAAAACATTTTTATTTTAAGACAATTTTGGGAGATTTTTAATTATGAATTCCAGTTATTTCCTAATGGTTGTAGGAATATGCAGATTATCTATTTTGTCTTGAGTTTTGCTTTTTATGGTTTTCAAGAAATTGGCCCATTTCTTCTAAGTTGATGAATTTATGAGAGTAAAATAGTTAATAGTACTCGTTTATTATCCTTTTGTTGCTATAGGATCTGTTGTAGTATTTCTTATTTCATTCCTGATACTGGTGATTTTAACTTCTGTCTTTAATTTTGTTTGTCTTGCGGAGCTCTGGTGGCATAGTGCTAAGGCACTTGACTGCTAACCAGAAGGCTGGTGGTTCAAACCCACCAGCCACTCCTTGGAAGGAAGGTTGGGCAATCTACTTCCATAGTGACATTGCCTCGGAAATCTAAGGAGGAGTCACTATGAGTTGGGTCCAACTCGATGGCAGTGAGTTTGGTTTGGTTTTGCTAGATTTACCCATTTCATTGACCTTTCCAAACAACTGATTCTTTGTTTCATTGATTTTCTCTATTGTTTACTGTTTTCAATTTCAGCTATTAATTTTTTTTCCTTCTGCTCCCTTTCAGTAGATTTTGCTCTTCTTTTTGTAGTTTTTTTAAGGTAGGAAATTAGATTAGTGATTTAGGCCTTTTATCCTTTCTAATGTAAGCATTAAGTACTACAGATTCTCGTTTCAGCACTCCTTTAGCTGTGTCTCATATACTTTGAGATGCT